GGAGAGAGACACATTGAGGAATATTTTACATATCCCAGTAGCACCCAAGCCATGGTGTTTTCAATAACCTCATATGCACACAAAAGCTGGACAGTGAATAAGAACGATCGTAGAAGAATCGATGTATTTGAGTTATGGTGTTGGAGGAGAATACTGAAAGTACTATGAGCTGCCAAAAGAACCAACAGATCTGTGTTGGAAGAAGTGCATGCCAGAGTGCTCCTTGGAGGCCAGGATGGCCAAACTTGGTCTCTCATACTTTTGACATATTGTCAGGAGGGAGCCGTCGCTGGAGAAGGATATAATGTTTGTAAAGTGCAAGTTTAGAGAAAAAGAGGAAGACCCCCAGCAAGACGGATTAGCAAAGTGGCAGCATTAATGGGCTCAAGCGTGGCAACAATTGTGAGGTTGGCCCAGGACCGAGCAGTGTTTTGTTCTGTTGTGCATAGGGTCGCTGTGAGTCGATACCTAACAACAACAACAACAAGTAGCACCTCTCTACATGCGGTTCTTTCTAATTAACAGTCCTCTCTGACACTTCAGGAATGGAGAACAGTTCATACTCTTATCAGATAGGAGCAGTGATTAAAGTGCTCAGCTGCTAACCAAAAGTTTGGCAGTTCAAATCCACCAACTGCTCTGCAGGAAAAAAAGACAAGGCAGTCTGCTTCCATAAAGATTTACAGCCTTAAAACCCCACGGAGCGGTGCTCCTTTGTCCCATAGGGTCTCTAGGAGTTAGAATCCACTTGACAGCAGTGAGTTTGGATATACATTCAGATGTAGAAGCAATAGCCAACTAAATTAGTGTACATTAAAGTCACCTAAAGGGTTCTAGCCATAAGATCATGTTAGTACCCTTCTTCATTATGAACCCTACCCAAATCCCTTAAACAAATCCATTTATCTTTTCTTTCCATGGTTCAGGTAAGAAAGTGACCTGGGCACTTACATCAAACAGAGCCATAAAAGATTTGATCCCTTCCCTCACTGAAATTCCCCAGTACACTTGGGTTGGTGTACATAGTCTTCCCTTCCATTTAGAGGCAGGGAGAACTTGGCCCTACCACTAAACTTCTTATAGCAGCTGAGAATAAGGGTGGATGTTAAGTGCTATCAGGCTGGTTCCAACTCATAATGACCCTGTATAGGGGTTCTGAGGAGTGTCTGGTGAGTTTGAACTGCCAGTCTTGTGATTCAAACCAACTTTGACGTCCAGGTTTGAAGGAAGAAGAGAGGTGTCATTAAAAAAGGCTTCACATTTACATGAGTGTAGGGTTTTGAGTGTATTGTAACAGCTCAGTCAAATGAACTTCTAATGTTGTGGTACGCCCAGCTCTCATACCAGACAGCAAGATTTTTATAGATGACACCATTTATTTCAGCTTTGGGAATTATGTGGCTCAACACCCACAGCCAGATTACTTTCTAGATGGGGCCACAGGGTTTGTGTGCCCTCAGGCTCAGGTGAGTTTGGTTTTCATAACAATGACCTTCTTTATGGCTTCCATTCCATTCCATTTCTATCTTGTTAAGAGCTGTACAGTCAGTTCTGACTCATAGTGACCCTATATAGGGTTTCTGAGGCGTGGATGGTGGGTTTGAACCACTGACTTTGTGGTTAGCAGTTAAGTACTTATCCTACAGCACCATACCAGGACTCTTGTCTTATTACCATCATAGCACACAGACACAAACCATCCAAACCCACTGTCATGGAGTAGATTCCCACTCATGAAGACCCTATATTGGATTTCCAAGGCTGGCTGTAAATATTTATGCCATCACTTCTCTGTCAGTTTGCCATACTGTGGTGGCTTGTGAGTCACTGTGATTCTGGAAGCTATCCCACCTGTATTTTAAATACCAGCAGGATTACCCATGGTGGACAGGTATCAATTCTTCTATGGTCTTCCTTATTCCTGACGAAGACAGACCAGGAAGAAGGAGTGACGAACTACTTCCAAATATTTAGTCACTGAAAACCTCATGAATAACAAAGATACACTGTCAGATATAGTGCCAGGAAATGAGCCCCTCATGTTGAAAGGCACTCAAAATGCAACTGGGGAAGAGATGCCTCCTCAGAGTAGAGTTGACTGTGATGACATGAATGGAGTAAAGCCAGTGGGAGAAAAGCCCATGGGACCTTCGTTTGCTGATGGGGTAGTACTCAAAATGAGGAGAAACAGCTGTAAACATCCATTGAAAATTGGAACATGGAATGTATGAAGTATGAATCTGGGAAAATTGGAAGTTGTCAAAAATGAAATGGAACACATAAACATTGATATCTTAAGGCATCTAGTGAGCTGAAATGGACTGGTATTGGCCATTTTGAATCTGACAACCACTTGGTTTACTATGTGGGGAATGACAAATTGAAGAGGAATGGTGTTGCAGTCATTGTCAAAAAGAACATATCCAGATCAGTCATGAGAGGAGCCACATTTAAAAAGCCTCATCCACCTGGACTTCATTTAGACGATAAAATCCTATACTTCAAGACTGCATCTGGTACAATAATAGCATGGCACTTTGAGGATCTTAAGGAGCCTTTTTGGCATTGTAGGGTAAGCACTGAATTGCTAACCACAAAGTCAAACCCATCAGCTCCTCCACGGGAGAAAGACGAGACTGTTCTTGCAAAGCTATACAACCTTGGAAACCCTACACAGTGTCACTATGAGTTGGAACAGACTTGAGGGCACTTAACAACAACAGAAGTAATTAATCTGTGGTTGTTAATCTCCAAATATGGCCTCTGATGACAGCATCTCCTTAGATTCATGCCCTTCTCCCTTAACAAATTTTTGAGTTGATTTAACTAACAGAATGCTGTGGAAGTGATCCCAAGCTCAAAAGTCTTTAGAGGGACTGAAACATCTGTTTTCATACATTGAGGAACCATAGATACCATGTAAAGAAGTTCAGCTGCCCTCCCAGAGAAATCACACAGAAAGACTATGTAAAACTTCATGGAGAGTGAGAGAGAGAATGATTAAGACTACATGAACACACACAAAGAGAAACAGACAAACCAGCCCAGAAGTCCAAGTATCCGGGATGAGCCCAGCCATACAGATCTGAATAAGTGAGCCATCTTGAATATTCCAGACCAATCGAGCTCATAGGTAACATCAAGTGGGATAGAACTGCCCATCTAACCAAAGTCAAACTGAGGAAATATTGAGATTCTTAGATGGCTTGTTACATAGCAATAAATAACTCACTTATCAAATGAAAACTGAGTATTTAGTAAGTCACACTAAATTCAGAAACCAAAAGGCAAACTACAGCGTGGAAAAGTACATGCCATGAATGTACGAGTGGCCCTGGTGGCACTGTAGAATAAGCACTGGATTGCTAACCCCAAGGTTGGTAACTCCACAGAAGAAAGATGAGGCTTTCTGATCCTATAAAGATTTACAACCTTGGAAACCCTAGGGGTCAGAATTGCTTGATGACAGTGGGTGGTGGTGGTGAAATATCCTTAAAATAAAACGAGGTCATTTAAAAGCCAAAACAAGATCACCAAAATCTCAAAAGATATAAAGATGGAAAGGATGTCATCTGCCTACTCACAGTAGACAAAATCAGAATGGCTAATCAACATGGAAATTTTTCAACCATTATTTGAAAAAAATGTAATAATCAAATACTATTGGTGAGAATGTAATGTAGCACAGTCTTCCTGGAGAGCAATTTGGCAACAATACAGATCCAAATAAGTAAGTAAAAGGATGTTAATTTCAAGTATAATGTCCAACAACATGGAAACTGTTTTAAAGAATTGTGGACTATCCATGTATGAGGATGGTCTTTACCTTGAAAAAATTAATTCTGGTAACATACTTATAATATGTTAAGTTTATTAAAAAGCAAAATATAAAAGTATATATAGTTTGAACCAAGTTTTCAAATATAAATTAGATATATGTGCAACAAAGACTGAATTTAAAAAATGTTAACTATGGTAGAAGAATTATAGTTATTTTTAATTTTCTTTCTTGCTTCTCTCCAGTTCTAAATTTTCCATTTAGAAAATTACACAGTTAAAGTAACTAAAATAAAGTAAGAGAAAATACACAGTTAAAGTAACAACTGTGCATCACTTTAATATTCAAAAGTTACTCTTTTTAAGGTAAATTGGCCAAATAATGAATAATAATTTTGCAGTGTGATATAGTTAATAAAATTATATATTTTTTCTTATTTTAAGAAAATTTAGAAATGCCCTTGTCTAATTTACCGTTCACAAGCTAAAAAACAGGTCTAGAGATTTAGATAGCCATGTTTGTGATAACATTTAGAGGCAGAGCCTTACTTAGAACTCAGGATTTACATGCTTTGTTACCTTGCTTTATGAGCTACCTAAAACAGCTCTTCAAGTAACATTTAAGATCTAAGTGAAACAACTGGCATTTTGAGAATGGCTTTACTTTGGTGGACACATAAATTTGCATGTATATTATTCTTATTCTGAATTATACAATTATTTGTAACAAGAAAATATGCTATTTCTTATAATACAACAGTTTTTTTAAAAAAATTAAAATTGTCAACTCAAATAATTTCCCAGACTTTAAAATTTCCTTTGAATTTATATTTTGTTATTGTTGTTACACTTTCATCTGAATTTTGTACAAACCTGTAAGATTTGGTACTTGATCAGTATAAGCAGTATAAATGTACTTCCACTTGGAGACATTTGAATGCAATTTTAGTTTATTTGTATTTGATTTAATTTATAAGTGAATTAATTTGTTTTTCCTAATCTTATAACTCTAATGTGAGGGCAGAAACCTTTACTTGAAGGTCTTCTTCTGAATCTTGCATTTGAAAGCTTTCGTTTGCTTTTGAATCTGGAGAAACTAAGCTTGTGCTCTTCCTTCTAGATAAGCCTACACTGCTGATTTGCCACCTAATTTCTGTTGAAGGTGGAGCTAAATGCATCATTCTTATTTTACCTGGATTTAGAAAAATACTTCTTAATTTTACCTCTGCTGGAGGTGATTCTATTTTAATAGGACTTGGATATCTATAATTCAATGTTTCTTGTGATGGAGAAAACTGGTAGTCATCAGAAGGTGGTATTTTGTTCTCTTGTATTGTTGGAATAGTAGACAATGGATGACTTGTTTGCTTTTCAGATTCATCACTTTTGGGAGGCATGGCATCTGAATGGTCTTCTGATAGATTGAAAGTTGGCAAAGACTTATCATCTAGTAGCTAGAAAAGAATACAACAACAAAAAGCTACCAATTAATCACAATTGATATGAAAACATGTAAAAATTTTAATACTGTACTTAAAATCAATTGTATGCTTAATTTACCAACAAATGATCCTTAATAGCTGTATATTTCTTATTATACATAAGAACTGACAGATTTATAAGCCTGGGTCCAACTGTTCCTACTTGCCTAAAATTGTGGACAATGAATATTGTACATAAAGATGATTATACTTTAAAAAAAAAAAAACTTTTTATTGTGAATTGAGTGAAGGTTTACAGAGCAGATCATCAGTTTTATATTCAACAAACCATACACTTTTCTTCACTACATGCAATCTCTTCAATGAACAATTGACAGAATTTACCTCTATTCATTTTAACTATAGCTTTCCTCCCATGTCTCCTGCTACCTTTTTCTTTTCTTTCTTTTTTTTAAGCTTTTATTGTGAATTGAGTGATAGTTTACATGGGAGAACATCGGTTTTGTTCTTATCCTATCGTACTTTGTTTCATTGCAATAATTACCATCCCCCTCCATGTATCATTGGTTAACAGTATTTGCTTCTATTCCCTCTGTACCAAAGTTTGTTTAACTGTTTTTCTGTTGATGGACATTTAAGCCGTGTCCATCTTTTTTATATTCCTTTTGTAGACAGCATTTTGAAGGATACTGCTTTCTTATTCATTCTGTTCTTTATGTATCTTGACTGGTACATTTAATCTATTTATATTCAGTGTAATTATCAGTAGGTATGAATCGATTGTTGTCATTTTGCTGTATTTTTTGTGTGGATTCTTCCACATAATTTTCTATGCTGAATTAATTTTCTTTGTGGATTTTCTTTTCATTTTCATTTCTGTTGTGCTAATGTTTACTAAATCTTTCTGATTTTCCTTTTTTAAAATTTTGACATACACTTATATTATTTTTCTTTGAGGTTACCCTGTAATTTATTAAACATTTTCCTGCTTAAAACAGTCTGATTTGTCCTAAATTCTACTTGATTGTCATTTGGAAGCTCCGTAGCTACATTATTCCCTCTTTTTGCTTTGTTGACTTCATTATACATTGATGTCTCTAGTTCCCTATTTTCATTCTTGTAAATTTACTTTATTTTAAATACTTCTGTATCTGGATTCAAGCTCACCAGCTGCTCCTTGGAAACTCTATACAGGGTCGCTATGGGTTGTAATCGACTCAACAGCACTTAACAACAACAACATATCTGGATTCAGTTCTGGGTAGTGTTGTCATGTATGGTAATCTAAGGTTGTTGGCTGCTGTTGCTGGTTCTCAGCCCAAAGCTAAACACCCTTTAGCAACTTTTGTAAAGTTTATCTGGTCATTACAAATTCCTTTAACTTCTGTTTACCAGGAAATGTCCTAATTTTGCTGTCATATTTGAGGGGCAGCTTTGCTGGGTATATGATTCTTTGTTGGCAATCTTTTTCTTTCAGAGTTTTGTGTATGTCATTCCATTGCCTTCTTGCCTGCATTGTTTCTCCTGAGAAATCTGAGTTTAGTATTATTGGTTCTACTTTGTAGGTAACTTTTCATTTTTCCTGAGCTGCTCTCAGGATTTCTTAATTGTCTTTGATTCTAGAAATTTTGATTATGATATTACTCAGTGATTTTCTTTGGGGATCTATTCTGTTTGGTGTTCATTCAGCATCTTGTAAACTTATTTTTTTCATTTTTCATGATGTTAGGGAACTTTCTTCCAACAACTCTTCTACAATTTTCTTTGTGTTTGTCTCTTTCTGTTCCGGAACTCAGATCACCTGTAAGTTGTTCCTCTTCATGGTGTCCCACATAACTCTTAGTCTTTCTTTGGATTTTTTCATTAGTTTTTCTGATTGTTCTTCTAGCATACTTGTATTGAGAGATTTCTCCTTAAACTCATTAATTTGGGCTTCCATTGCTTCACATTGACTCTTTGTCCTTTCAAGGCACTATCTATTTCTGAGATCTTAATATTAATATTCTGGGTTTCAAATTGCAGGGTTTTTATTGTTTCAAAATTTGCATTTATTTTGTCTGTTCTTGTAGAATTTTTCTGAATTCTTCTTAAGTTTTTATTGTGTTTTCCTTGCTTTCATTGATCTTTCTATCTATTGATCATTTGAAGGTACTTAATTATCATTCTTTTGAATTCTTTTTCATTTGATTCTATTACCTTTTCTTCCTCAGAAATGTCTTCTGGCTCAGCATCTTGGCCATTTGTTCAAGCTATTGTCTCTTGTTTATTTATGTGAGCTAAAATTGTCTATTGTCTCCGGGCATTGTGAGGTAATACTTATAAAAACAAACAGTGCAGTTTTTGGATCCGGAGGAGAGAAATCTCTAGTGGCTCCTACAATTCAAGGAACTCACGAGGTGATTGTGAAAGGGCTGTGACAGCAAAATTCCTGTGTCTAGATGGAGTTCCTATTGGCTTCAGAGTTATCTACTGACGTGTTCAGGGCACTCAATCCAGAAGTGGTTTGTGGAGCTAGTTTCAGTGTCTGTTAGAACCACTGGGAAGCTGAGGGCAACAGGGGATAATGCTCCTAAGAGAAACCAGGAGGACTGGTTAAATGCTGGTCTGATGGCTCTGTGGGTTTTGGAGGTCTGGGACCAAGTCCACCTGAATCCAGGCACTAAAGTGGCACATACCAAAGTGGCACAGCATGGCTCCCAACCACATGGTTCTGAACTTCCAGAGAGCAGAGTCTGCTCTGGGGGTTGATGATGGTGGAACTGACCACCAGGGGAACATAGGGAAAAAGAAATCACACATTTTCTGTGACCTATGCAAATGCCAGACCTTGCTCGAGTCTGACCAGCTGTTCACCAGTCAGTCTCCCTCACTCATCATCCCTGCTTGGTCTCTACTCCTAGCAAGCACTCCAACTACCTCTCAAAACTTTCTTCTTAAGTTCAGGGTGCGAGAATTTTCATCTGTGCCTTTTTCATTCTGTCTCTTGAATTTTTGTTGTACAGAGTATGTGCAGTGAGTCTGCCTAGTTTGCCATCTTTCCAGAAGTCCTGATTATACTTTCTATAAAACAGTGGCTCTGATATGTCCAGATTTTATGCCAGTAACATCTCAGGAAAAAATCTAGAACATCTTACATATTACTGTCATTGTATTATCACCGATGTATTATAGGAGTCCTGGTGTGGTGCTGTAGGATAACAGTTGGACTACTAACCTCAAGGTCAGTAGTTTAAACCCACCAACCTTTCCTTGGAAACCCTATACAGGGTCATTATGAGTTGGAACTGACTCGATGGCACTAAACAACAACAATATATTATAAAATAAAGGAAAATTTAATAACAGAATAACATAAAGAACAATATCATAAAATCACAAATGTACCTTTAAACAAAGGAAATTTTAATAGCAAAGAGTATAAAGATGGTATCATAAGTTAAATAAATTTCATTTTATAAAAATGGTCTATATTTTTCTCTACTGGTTTCTGTTGTAAGATTATTACTGTTTCAGAGGAAAAGTTTACAATGGGTCAAATTTAAAGCTTCTTGTGAAAAATAATTCCATCAAATTAAAAGCTTCTGGTGAAAAAGAATGTGGTTCAGTCTGTGATAACCATTTTTAAGATCTCATACAAAACTTCATGCATTTTCTTAACTTGTTTCCCTCTCTTCTTTTCCCGAATGCCTTTTGTCCCCATCTTCATATATATTTTGAAATAATACTATTATATATGAAAGCATTACTTTCAAGAGTACAATTTAATGTAAATGAACTATGGAACTGTACAGATACTGCCATAATAGAAATTTTTATAAAACATCTGAATAACTTCTTAGGTCCTTTGTCCTTTCCATCTGTAAACTTTTATTTATAAAAATTTTACTATTTTTTAAGACAGTGACTATTAGGAAAAATTTTCTTACCTTATTTGGAATGCTGTCAACTTTATTGCTTGTAAGAGAAGTATCTGTTAAAAAAATTAATCAACATATTTTATTTTACATAATTAATAAGCATCATTTATATACATGCATATTGGTAAAACACTATGATAATTTTTCTTACCAAGAACAAAGAACTCTTTGCAGAAAAGCAACTATCCAAAATTAGAACTATTTAGTATAAACAGACAGATAAGTCTCTGGGAAGATTAGGGAAATGGTAAGTGAAAAAAGGTGGAGGAAATAAAAACATGCAAAAAGTGATAAGATTTCAGATCCCTCAATCCAAGATGTAAAAACAAATATAGATTATATTTTGCTAAAAGTCAATAGGAAAGACAATAAATCCCATATAGTCAATGGTAAGCTTGGGATTAGGAAAAAAGATTAGAATAAATAAGTATGAAGCAAGAAAAAATAAGCCCAATTCGAGAGTGGCTGATTGAAATGCTTTCAAAATTTTTCAAGGAATGCATGTTTAACAAGTAAAGAAAAACCTATAAGTGGAAGAAAGAAAATTAAAAATTGAGACCCAAAGTTTAGAGAAAAGCAAATTTTACTGTGATAGCTTGTTAATGCATGATTTTGAGCAGCTTGTGTTTCTGAGTCTTAGTTTTCTCATAGGTAACATGGTATAATAGTTTACTTATAGGGTTGATACAAGTATCATATCATATGTAAGATGTAAAAGGCAACATGGTTAAATGCATTAGCTGTTGGGTCAAACTGACTGGGTTTGAATTCTGCCCTTATGACTGACTCAGTAGTGATGTGACCTCTGATTGGTTACTTAATGTGTGCAATTCTCAGTTTCCAGCTCTGCAAGGAGCCCTGGTCGTGCTGTGGTTAAGCATTGCCTATTAACCTAAAAGTCTGTGGTTTAAGCCATCAGTCTCTTTAGAAGACCTGGTGATCACTCCTATAAAGACTGTTGATGTTAGGTGCTATTGACTTGGCTCAGATTTATAGCCATCCTATGTACAGTATAAGGAGCCTGCCCTGGTAGTGTAGTGGGTTATGAGTTGGGCTACTAACTGCAAAATCACCAGGTCAAATCCACCAGCCACTCCAAGAAAGCTTTCTGCTCCAGTAATGATTTACAACCTCGGAAACTCTATATAGGGTTGCTATGACTCAGAACCGACTTGATGGCACATAACCACCACCATCATCTCCACAATCTTTTCTCTGTCTGAGCTCATTGTTGTAGCTACTATGTCAATCCATCTCATTGAAGGTCTACTTCTTCACTGACCCTCTACTTTATCTAGCAGTCTCCAGGGAGTTGTTCTTCCTAAGAACATGTTCAAAACATGTGAGATTAAGTCTGTCTATCCTCGCGTCTAAGGAGCATGCTGGCTGTACTTTTTCCAATACAGATCCGTTCATTCCTCTGGCAGTCTATGGTATACTCAGTATTCTACTTCAACACTACAATTCAAAGGCAATTCTTCTCAGTTTTCCTTATTACTGTATAGTTCCCCCATGTGTATGAGGCCTGTAAAAATACCATGACTTGGATCAGATGCACCTTAGTCTTCAGAGTGATAGTGTTGTTTTTGAACACTTTAAAGAGATCTTTTGCAGAAGATTTCCCCAATGCAATGTCATTTGATTGCCTGACAGCTGCTTTCATGGATGTTGATTGTGGACACAAGTAAAATGAAATCCTTGACAATTTTAACCTTTTCTCTGTTTATTATGATGTTGCGTAGTGACCTGGTTGTGAGATCTTTAATTTTCTTTATGTTGAAGTGTTATTCATATTGCAAGGTGTAATCTATGATATTAATTAGTAAGTGCTTCAAGAGCTCTTTGCTCTCAGTAAGCAAGTTATCATCTGCATAGCACAGGTCTTTAATGAATTTTCCTCCAATCCTGATGCTGCATTTTTCATATAGACCTGTTTGCAGGATTATTTGTTCAGCACACAAGTACAGATTTGAATGAAAGGATATTGCCCTGATGCATACATTTTCTGATTTTAAACCACACAGTATCTCCTTGCTCTGTTCAAACTATTTCTTTGTCTTTGTACAGGCTCTGCGTGAACACAATTTTAAGTGTTCTGGAACCCCCATTCTTTGCAATATTATCCATAATTTGTTATGATTCACATAGTTAAATATCTTTGCCTAGTCAATAAAGCACAGGTAAACATCTTTCTGGTAGTCTCTGCTTTCAGCCAAGATCCATCAGCTATCAGCAGTGATATCTCTCATGCCACATCCTCCTTCTGAATCTAGCTTGGTTTTCAGGCAGCTCCCTTATTGATGTACTGCTGCACGTGTTTTAAATTATACTCAGCAAAATTTTACTTGCCTGTGGTATTAATTATATTATTTGATAGTTTCCACATTTTGTTATATCACTTCTCTGGAACTCATGGGGCCAATCTATTGTGGCCTGTCCTCTAGGGTTTCTGTGAGTCAGAATTGACTCCAGAGTAACAGGTGTTTGGTCTCTCCATGGTAAACATGAGAATAATGCATTCCACAATGGACCATTGTGAGAACTGATTTATATAATCCAAATGAAGTGCCACAATTACAGTGATCAATAATGCTGCTGTTATTGTTAAATGCCATTAAGTTGGTTCTGATTCATAGCAACCCTGTGTAGGGTTTCCGAGGAGCGGCTGGTGAGTTTAAGCCTCCAACTTTGTGGTTCCAACGGACCATTCAGTCCAATGCTTATTCTACACTGCCACAGCAGGACTCAATAAATGTTAGCTATAACGTTATAAGAGGATACAGAACTATATATAGAGGAAGCTATTGTGAATTCCTGGTGTGGCACTGTAGGATCAGTACTGGACTGCAAACCACAAGGTCAGCAGCTCAACCCAACAGCTGCTCCTTGGAAACACTATACACGGTTGCTATCATTTGGAACCAACTTGACAGCACTTAACAATTGTTGTGTATATCCTTGAGTAAAATCCAACTCATAGGGTTTCTGGAGCCCTAGTGGCACAGTGGTTAAAACAGACATCTGCTAACAGAAAAGTCAACAATTTGAATCCACCAGCCACTCCAAAGGAGAAAGATGGAGACTACAGGAATACCAAAAGGAAAGAAGTCACTAAATGATCCAATGGTATTCAAAAGAAACTCTTTAGGAAGGAGGAAAAGTAAAGATGTGGGGGTGAGGAGGCACAATAACTACTGCTAGGCTGGTTGATTGCAGGCATTAGGATATGAATATACCAAAGTCTGGTGTAGCCAGGGACGTAGCTAGAGAGGAAGGATGATTGATCTGAGGCAAAATCTGATGACAATAAATCATAATTCCATAGCTGAAAAACTCTAGATTTCAAAGATACAGATTTATGCATCTAGTTTAACTTGCTTTCTAAGTGAAGCTCTAAATAGAGACTGCATGAACAGTATAATTTCTTTAATATGTAATTTAATTAATGAGTAACTAATTTATTTAATTTTGTATTATATGTGGTAAAATTTTACTTGCATGTGATATTAATGATCTTGTCCAATGATTTGGGTCCCTTCTCTTTGGAATGGGCACAAATATGTAACTCTTCCAATCAGTTGGCCAGGCAGTTGTCTTCAAAATTTCTTGGCAGAGATGAGTGAATGCTTTCAGTGTTGCATCAGTTTATTGAAGATTTCAATTTGTATTCCATCAATTCCCAGAGTCCTGTTCTTTGCCAATGCCTTCAGTGTACCTTGGACTTATTCCTTCAGTACCATTGGCTCTTGATCATATGCTACTTCTTGAAATGGCTGAACATTGACAATTTATTTTTGATCCAATGACTGTGTGTATTCTTTCTACCTTCTTTTGATGTTTTGTGTATCATTCAATACTTTGCCCATAGAATCATTCAATATTGCAAGTCAAGGATTACATTTTTTCTTCAGTTTTTTCAGCTTGAGAAATGCTAAGCATATTCTTCTCTTTTGGTTTTCTAACTCCAGGTCTTTGCACATTTTGTTATAATATTTTATAGTGTTTTCTCAAACTGCCATTTGGAATTTTCTGTTTAGTTCTTTGACTTCCTCATTTCTTCCATTTTCTTTACATCTCTACTCTGGAAAGCAAGTTTCAGAGTCTCTTCTGACATACATTTGGTCTTTTACTTTTTTCTTGTCTTCTTAATAATCTTGAGAGTTCTTCCTGTATAATGTTCTTGATGTCATCCCACAACTCTTCTGGCCTTTGGTCATTAGTGACTAATGTATCAAATCTGTTCTTGAAATGATCTCTAAATTCAGGTGGAATATGTTCAAGGTAAAATTTGGCTCTCATGAACTTGTTTTAGTTTTCTTCAGCTTCAGCCTGAACTTGCATATAAGTAATTGATGGTCAGTTCTACAATCTGTCCCTCATCTTGTTATAGCTGATAATAAGGAATTTTTCCACTGTCTCTTTCCATAGATAAGGAGCTCTGGTAGTGTAGTGGTTATGAATCAAGCTGCTAACTTTAAGGTCAGCAGTTCGAAACTGTCAGCTGTTCCATGGGAGAAAGATGAGGCTTTCTGCTCCCATAAAGATTTACAGCCTTGGAAATTCTGTTCAGGGTCGCTATGAGTCAGAACCGAGTCCACAGCACATCAGGACCACAACTTCCCGTAGATACAGCCAATTTGATTTTTGTGTAATCCATCTTATGTGGTCCATGTGTATAGTTGTCTTTGATGTTCTTTAAAAAAAAGTATTTGCAATGAAGAAGTCATTGGTCTTGCAAAATTCTATCATGTAATCTCCAAGATTGTTTCTATCATCAAGACCATATTTTCCAACGAATGATTCTTCCTTTTTGTTTCCAACCTTTGCATTGTAATCACCTTTGCATATTATCAATATATCTTGTTTGCATGTTTGATCAGATTTCAGGCTGAAGCAGTTGGTAGAATTCTTCAATTTCATCATCACTGGCTTTAGTGATTGGTGCGTACATTTAAATAATAGTGGTATTAACTGGTTTGCCTTGTAAGAGTATGGATACTATCCTATCACAGACAGCATTGTACTTCATGTTAGATTTTGAAATATTCTTTCTGATGATGAATATGACACCATTCCTCTTCAATTTGTCATTCTGGCACAATAAATCATATGATTGATTGTCAGATATAAAATTTCCAATACCAGTCCATTTCAGCTCAATAATGCCTAGGATATTGATCTTTATGTATTCCATTTCAGTTTTGACAAATTTTGACTTTCATAGATTCATTCTTCGTACATTCCACCTTCTGATAATTAATTAACATTTACACCTATTTCTCCTCAACACTACCTTGACAGGAATTGCTAGAGGTTAAAGTCAGATTTAGAAGAGGATATGGAACTAGAGATGTTATTGCTTATGTCAGATGAATCTTGGCTGAAAGTCGAGAATACCAGAAAAGATGTTTTACCTGTGCTTTATTGACTATGCAAAAGCTTTCGGTTGTGTGTATCATGACAAGTTATGGACAGCATTATGGAGAGTGAGTATTCTGGAACACTTAATTGTGCTCATGAGGAGCCTGTACATAGAGTAAGAGGTAGTCGTTCCAACAGAACAAGAGGATACTAAATGGTTTAAAATCAGGAAAGATGTGTGCCAGGGTTGTATTCTTTCAGCAAACTTATTCAAGCTGTATATCGAACAAATGATCTTAGAAGTTGGAGTATATGAAGAACAACATGACATCAGAATTGGAGGAAGACTCATAAACAACCTGCAGTATGCAGATGAAGAACCTTGTTTGCTGAAAGTGAAGAGGAAGTAAATAAAAAATACTTACTGATGAAGATCTAAGATCACTGCCTTCAGTATGGATTGCACCTCAATGTAAAGAAAACAAAAGTGCTCACCACTGGACCAATAAACAACATCATGAAAATGGAGAAAAGACTAAAGTGGTCAAAGAATTCACTTTGCTTGGCTCCACTATCAACATTCATGGAAATAGCAATCAAGATATCAAATGACATATTGCATTAGGCAAATCTGCTGCACAAAACCTTTTTAAAGTGTTCAAGAACAAAGATGTCAGTATGAGGACTATGGCATGCCTGATCCAAGTCATGGTATTTTCAATAGCTTCATATGCATGTGAAAGTTGGACAGTGAATAAGACCATAGGAGACTTGATGAATTTGAGCTATGGTTTTGGAGAATAATAATAAAATACCATGGGCTGCTAGAAAAACAAGCCAATCTGTGTTGGAAGAAGTATGGCCAGAATGTTCCTTAGTAGCCAGGGTGGTGAGACTTCATCTCTCATACTTTAGGCTTAGTATCAGGAGGGACCTGATTCCTGGAGGAGGCTATCATGGCTGGTGAAGTGAAGGGTCAGAGAAAAAGAGGAAGACTCCAATGAGATAGAATGGCACAGGGGCAGCAGAAGTAAGACTCAAGCTTAACAATGATTGTGATGATGGCACAGGACCGGGCAGTTCTATAGTATATAAGGTCGCTATGAGTCGGAAATGACTTGACAATACCTAACAACAACAACAACAAGAGTTTAATTAACATATGTAGCGAGCTCTTGAATTTGTCTCTAAATTCTCTTCTCTTTCTCTCATATGCACACACTCCTCTACATCAAAGAAGTAGACAGCTGACAATCTTAAGTTTTTTTTATAGATCACAATCAATATTAAAATTATTTTGTCCTTAAAAAGTGAAAAAGAAAAGAAAAAATTAAAACAACTCTTATCCTAGTCTAAGTCCTCTCTTTGGAAATGTTACAAATACAAGTACTATGTACCAAAACTATAATGAAGTGCATATTTATTCCCTAACAAATTAAACTCCAGTTAAAGTAAATCACAAACTTTCTTTCTGTCATATAAAAATTGCCTAGATTTCAATGATCTTAGTGATAACTATTTTAAAAATGAATAAAATTAGTTTTTAACCTGATGTTTCCTTACATCTATCGAGGCTTTGTATATCACTCTTCTCTTCCAAATGATCATTACTCAGGTTTCCAAATACCTCACTGATATTATTTCTCTAGAAACAAAGCAAAGAAAATATAGTGAGGAAATGTGCAGGTGTAGGGAACCTTTTTTCTGCCCAAATTTATACCATCATTCATGGGCCATACAAAATTATTGACTTAAAAAACTAGCTTGCTCCATTTAAACATTTCATTAATTCACCCTTAATGTGATGGCTAGAACTGCGGTTGCCTTGGCAGGGTCAAACCAAATGATCTAGTGGGCGTTATACAGCTTGGTGTGAAGTCCTGGTGTGGCGTTGTGGGTTAATGCACTGGACTGCACAATTGTCTTTAACTGGAAACCCTATCCAGAGTCACTATTGGACCATTCACTATGGGTCGGAACCAACTCAACGAAATTATCAAGAACAACAATATACAGCCTGTGGATCAGATGTTCCCCACACCTGAGTGGTAGTTTACATGGGAGAACATCAGCTTTACATTCATCCTATCATATTTCGTTTCAATGCAATGATTACAACCCCTCTGTGCATCATCATTCAACAGCATTTGCTTCCATTTCCTCTGTTTTTCATTTGTTTCTTTTGGATGTACACCAAAGTACTGAGGAATATATAACCATTCAAACAACCAAAGGGTACACCCCACAGGCCTGCCCCCTGGCCATCAGCACACGGACCCTCTCCCTCCATAAGTCCAGAGTCCCCGGCCATTCCGTTTCTCCATGTCATCATCTCTGCTTCCATCTCTGACATCACTGCTTCTCTGGGTAGGGTCCCACACTCTGCTCTTCTCCCTTGATGGTCCCAGAGACCTCCACTCCTGGACTGCAAAATCAACCACTCCCTTCCTTTTGTTACACCTACCTTTACATTTGCAACACTCAGTCAGTCCTGATAGCAATTTTTTTGAACACAATAGTCCTATCCCCATCTCCTTTCACCAGCCCTGTTCAGGCAGGTTTGAAACCACTCAGTGGAGATTCTACCTTCCCCTGCATCCTCTGGAATTAGGCTCCCTCTTGATAGCTTGTAAGCCAGTCACTTCTTGCCTTTGTAGGCCTCCCCCCCACATTTTGGGTAGCCAATGTCTAAGTTGCCCATCCCTGTCAACCCTGTGTACTGAGGGGGTGGGAATGATCCTTGCAGTAAAGATTCATTCCATCATTTGAGCTACTACATCCATAAGTATAGGTCAAGTTCATCAAATTGTAGCGGATTACTCTTTTTCCCCTCTTCTTTCTTCCTCTAGTTGAGCTCTGATCATCCATCCATTGAAGCCAGGTCAAGTGGGTACTATCTGCAAGTATAGGTGTTCTTGTGCATCTCCCCGCACTTCATGTCAGCTGGACGCTTCACACTCCGCTGTGGTCCTCTGTGGCCATGTCCCTGTCCCTGGGTCCAGGAGTCCCCATGTCTCGTCATACTGCTGGCCAATCAGGACTCAACCCAGGTTGACAGGAGTCTATTGAACGTGGCTGGATTTAGCTCACAAGTTCCTTGCTGTTTTCCCCCACTTCATCTTATAGGTAGACCAGCGTGATCACCAGCAAGACTACATGCCTGCTCATGTATTCCCCTTGAGTCTCAGTCTTAGAAGGTGGTTTACTCTGAGGGGACCCTACTGCTTGCCTTGATGGCTACCCAGCGAACAATTTGCTTGTTCTTGTAGTAGTCAATCAGTCTGCCTTTATTATTTTTTATTTTTCCTACTGGTCTTTCTTTCAAGTATCTTCTGTTCTTTTGGCTGCTCCATGCTGGTCTGCCTGTCCTTTCAAGTGGAAATTTCCCACCTGGAAAGATTCTGGATGGAGATCAGGATTCCACCTATGGTCGTATGCAATGTAATGGCTCCGCAGGAGGCCTCCTTCACTAGGCAAGTTCTAGCCCCAGTTTAGGTATTCCCATCAGTTACAGGGTGAAGACAGACTTACAAGCTTTCTCTGGTGACGTTTCTGGCTATTCCTATCTCTCCCCCTCAAGTGTCTATTTTACAATAGTAGGCATGGGAAACCAAGATTCAAGACAGCCAAGCATCTTAACGTTATTTCCCCTCTTTTAACCATTCAAACTATTCCTCAATCCCTGTATCCCAGAGCCCTGTTGTTCCAAGGTTGTGCATACATCATTATTTACCTCTGATCCTCTTAGCCCATGCAAATCTGTCTAATTGTTTTCCCTACTGCCTTTTTCTTCCATTCCCCTTCCCCTTCTTGTGTATTCCTCCCCTCCCTAACACCCAAACTATCCTGTGTCTATTCCCTACCCTGTGCTCCACCTTCCCCTCCCTCCCCTCACCTCGCCCCACATTTCGGTAACCAGCAAAGAATCCCGCCTCCCCCCTCCCCTTTAGTATGGGTTCTTTTTCTTTGTCTTTTACAGTAGTGGTCCTATGAAATATTTCTCCTTTTGTGACTGACTAATTTCACTCAACTTAATGTCTTCAAGGTTCATCCATATTATGCAGTGGCTTGTAGCTTCCTTGCTGTTCTTCAAGGTAGCATAATATTCCATTGTGTGTATGCACCACAGTTTGTTTATCCATTCTTCAGTTGATGGGCACTTAGGCTGTCTCCATCTTTGTTATTGTAAATAGTGCTGCTATAAACATTGGTGTTTAT